TAAATATCATCTAATGTAATGTTAGTATTTTTTAAAAAGATTATTATATTTTTTATTAAATTTATTTTTATTCTGTTGATAGAATCTCGACAATGACACTAAAAAAAAGTATTTAATTTTAAGATATTAAAATGTTTTATTATTTTTCTCTTCGTTTTTTTAAACATACATTTAAAGATAGTTTAATTTTAAACTTTTTCAATAAATAGAATATTATATTTCGATTTAAAATATTAAAAGTTTAGAATTAAAATAAGTTTTATTATTAAACGTTTGTTTTGCAAAGATGTTTTAAACATAAACATTTTAGACATTTTATACTTTTTAGTGAACCTATTTCATAAAAATTATTAGGCTATTTGAAATTTCTATTCTGACTAGCGACCCTAAACAGCAGGATTAAATTGGTTATAGACAATTAAATTGATATATAGACGTATAGTACGCACATGTCGAGTGCTCGTAAATCACAGACACTAATTAGAAGTACCACTTAAATTAAGAACACTTATTTTCCTTGCATTAAGTTATCACATTTCGTGAAAATTATAGACACACCCAAGTTAATTTTTAAATTGGATATATCGCCACATGTCTTTCAATTTGATAGAAAGCGAATAATACGCACATAACGTTATTCCTTGGAAAAGATGAATTTTATTTTTGTTTTGAAAAGCAGACTAAATGTATCCGTAGATTAAGAAACGTGATACTCTAAGAGATTACGGATTTCGAGATAAATAGCAGGGTTACTTTCTATTTCTTGTTTCTATTAAAAGCTTTTTTATCCTCAATTAAATCGGAGTCTTGTTTTTCTTAATAGAGTAATTATTTTAAAACCATGCTATTATAACATTTTTTCTTTTCCTTCTCTCTCTCTCTCTCTCTCTCTCTCTCTCTCTCTCTCTTTCTCTCTGTAGGAATTATTGGAAAAAATATTTTAGCTCTTAATTGTTAGATAATTAATGATAGGCGTGTCTCTTGATACGATTTACATTAACTTCAGTAATATACTACGCTAGAGCGTATATCAGCATAAATTTTTAATTCACGTTATAGACATTCTACATGTGTTCTTCTACTTAAAGACATTCTGTTAATAAATTTATATCATTCGATTGTACATAAGTATATCTGCAATTGATGTACGATGGACTGTACAATAATAAATATCGTCGATATAGAACGAAGCGTTTGCATACAATAAGTGCATCTGCATTTTACACGCAACTTGCTAGAAATTTCAAAGTCAGTCTTTTTATAGCAAGGTGCAAACACAGTTTCCGCGGATGCCGCAGTGAAATCGATGGTGACGCTTTGCTGAGACTATGGCGGGGTAAACGCATCGGAAATAAGAGGAGATGCAGAAAGAAACTAGGCCACTAGAGCGGAGATAACAAGAAACCGATATGAAAAGAGTTGAACACTTTCAAAGAAAGAGATATTCATGGATATGATTTTTAAAATTTTTACATTCAGATGATCCTTGGTCATTTGTAAGAAGAAATTTGTCTGCACCAATGTCTTCAATTCGATGCATGTCAAATGTATATCTACAGTTACGGTCCGTGTGTGAAACAGAAGTAATATTGCTTGGCGAAGCATGTCCGCAGAAAATTGCTCAATATGTCCAGCTATAATTTTATTTACATGTACATATTGACATTATAGTACTTAATTCAGTATATTATTGAAAAAATTGCTAAAGTGACTGTAAACAAATATATGTGTGAAAATGAATATTTCTTCCAAAGTAATATCCTCTTTCAATTTATAACTGATTAGGAAGCAATGTAATTTCTAAGAATTTGCTCTTTTTACGAAGAATAATAAAAAATTAGTCATTGAAAAATAGCAGGATTATACAATAATTAATTAACTATTATAATAATTGGGATATAAATTGGATATAAAGTATAACTGTGTTGTAATTGAGTATATTTTTTTATTTGTATCCATTTAATCATTTTTTTTTTAATTATTCGAAAACCGTATTACTTTATAAAATACATTATTATTATCTCTTGTTAGTTTATAAAATCCATTATTACCTCTTGTTACTTTATAAAATACATTATTATTATCTCTTATTACTTTATAAAATACATTATTATTATCTCTTAGATCTTTACTCGCTATGGAACTTTACAGAATTAATGATGAACTCTAAAGACAGTTTTCTAGTCTACAATACAGTTTAGAAGGAAAATGCACTGCATCCTACAATGTATTGTATTTTTATTTTTACATATTATTTTTCTTTCTATCTCTTTCTTTCTCTTTCTATTTTTTCCTTCTTTTTTTTTTGTTCTCTCTATCCATTTATCTCAATTGACTTTTCTCGTGTTTGCCTAAAAATAACGATTCTTTTTCTTTTTTGGAGAATCAATAAAGTGTCATTGAAATAAGGAATACACTCTCCTGAGAATAGAAATCTGTACTGTTTTATCCTATTTTATTTAATTCGATAACCAGTAATATTATATTCCGTGTAACATAAGCTACTTATTATTATATAAAATATATATATATTTAT